TAATATTCAAACTAAATATTTGTTTCTACATATGAAAAATGAAAGTAGTATTATTTCTGTTATAAAGAGCACAATAATACAAATGTAGAATTGTCTTTTTATCATAAGCAGTTGCAACACAACTGCTACATAGCCGCACAAAATAAACATATACGAGGCTTCCCCGTAGCAGCTTCCTGGCACAACTGCTATGCAACAGTTACTTCAAACAAGCTCTAAATAAAATAGGATGAAGATGTGAAGTGTAACGATCATAAAGATAAGACACATGACTTTATTTTGACACATGACTTTTTTTTATGATAAAATTCTTATATTTCAAAGATTGGGTATGGAATAATTATTCCATTAATATAAAAACCTTTACTTGAATGACTGTATTGTAATTGTAACGACAAATAAATTTAAAGGCAACCTTGACATATTATAAGATCTTTTAAAGCCAAAAAATGATGTGCTTTTTTTATTTTTTTTGTACAAGATCTCCAAAATACTTCCATAACCTAAAATAAAAAATCAATCAAATTTTGTATTTAAATAAAAAATTCAAAATTGTTATTTGAATAATTTATCATAGAAAATTTAGCTTTATATGATTAACAAACTTTTACTTCAAAATTAAAAATTTAATATATTTGCTTGGTGCTAATGTTTAAATGCATTTCTAAATGCCACATCCAGCATCATTCATGGAGGTTAATTAAGGCTTACAGAGCTTTATTCTTTGGCCGGTGCCACTAGATATGTGCGTGATTAACTCATTCCTTAATCTTGATGAGATATCTAACACTTCATTTTAGTGAAATTTATATATAAACTATTAAAATAATATATGGAGCTTTTCTGCCAAAGCATCTTGTTGCTAGCTCTAATGATAATTATATATTACTTAGCTTATGTAATTGATGGAATGATTAATTTTGAAAATTTAAGGCACAAAATAATAATGCAAACCCAAGAGTAGACATATTTGAAAATTATTGTTTTCGCCTTTTTTTTTCTCCTTATCTGTTTGGAGTCATTAGTTTATCTATTGTCATATGATTTCCTTTTTTTAAGTAAATATATTTTTTTTTTCGGGATGATATGGAGAAGAGAGGAATTGGAAAATAAGGACATGCAATAAAGATACACAAACAAGACAAATAATGTGGAGAACTTTCATAAAGTAAATTTCGTGTGACTGCCCAATACCGTATGTTCAAAATGAGATTGTATATAAAATGTTTTGGAATATATCCACGAAGAAGACCCTACGAACACAACTCACAACTAGTGTCAAGTGTGTTTGTTTGTTCTGAGGTTAAGAGCAGCTCTTAAAGGGACACATCCCTTTGGTTAGTTACATATTGGGGGGTGTCCAGGAATACTCTCGATTAAAGAAATCATGTTTACACTTATATGATGACTAGTAAAAAGGTGTCACAAAGAAAAATTATCTTATACGAACATCTCACTACCTTCTGAGTTATAACTAAGCCACATGACATAAAGTGAATCTCTCACATCTTATATGGGTAGCGGCTCATTGTCGCATGTGGCCCGCAGAATAATCAGGTCATTCCATAGGGTCTAGACTCTATTTCTAAGGCCTAACCAGGCCATAAGGGTAGAGGGTGAATCATTGTATCCCAAATGAGCGACAACATATCCACAATTGGGCCCTAAGATCCATCATCCCAAGTTATCAGGACTTAAAGTCTACCTGTTCGTGAATGTAGTAGACCCAACACAACTAGAGATCCCTTGTCAGAAATCTGTGAATTACATTGTCAAAGAAGACCGCAATAGTCTTAAGGTCAAGGGAAGGAAACTATAAATCCGATGACTCTATGTAAGTAGAAAGTAGAAGTGGGACTTATACTTACCAAAATTGTGAGGAAGTTGTTGAAAAGAAGAGAAGAGAGAGGTCCAATTACAAAGCTGAAAACATTCTCACAAAAGACTTATGTCCCGTATGGATAAGGGAAGCTTCTAACAGTCTGAGTGTGCTAACCACCTAAGTTAAAATCTATGTTGGACCAGCCGGGTTGAAAAAGTACTAAAACTTCTCTTTGTGACATGCAATATAATGCATTTATCTAAAGTATGAAGCATGGAAGCCCTATTAGAAATGACTTAGGTAATTTTAATGCAATACAAATTTGTTTTAAATTCGGCCCGAAGGTCATGAGGAAAAGTAAGAGCATATTTTGAAAAACTTGAAATATTTTTAATCCTAAATTTTGATTATTTATTATGATTTTGTAGAAAATTTATAATCTTCCTTAGGTAGCCTAATTTATGTTCGCATGGTTCTCAAACAATCCACAAGCTACAAAAAGAGTAACATCAAGACACGCTATGAATTATAAAGAAAAGTAAGCCATACATAAGAGAAAGAAAGGTCGAGTGCCGTTGGGTAGTCAACATGTCTCAGAAAAATTAAGGTGGTCAAGCACCTCACATATACAAGCCTTATCCTAATTCTATACATCAAAGAGATATAAAACTAAGGTATGTGACACGAGCACACGACTCTTGGTCCTCGTCACATGGTTTCACCCGTCTGGAATCTCAAAAATCGTGCCCATACATTATTCATAATACAAACTCGAGCATGGGGACTCTGAAAAGTACATAACAAAAGTCAAAAAAGACTTGATCTGCAAAACAACGGGGTTAGAGCAAGTTATAGGCATGCAACGTAGTGAATCATGTTCAGTATGAGGAGAGCTGAGCAGCACCTGCAAGAAAAGCATTAATCTAAAATGGCTCTTTGCAAGAAGACATCCTTCAACTCCGACCGATGATCACCACTATAAACATTTAATTGGCTCCCTACAATATCTCACGGTAACTCACCCTGACATTACTTTTAATGTTAATTTTTTGAGCCAATTTATGCATACTCCTACTGCTCTAACATTTTCAAATGCTCAAAAGGCCTCCCCAATATTTAAAAGACACTGTAAAATGTGGACTTCCAATTACACCAAACAACTTTAAACTACATGCATATGCCAACGCCAAATAGGCAAGTAATCCAATCTATAAAAAATCTATAACCGATTACTATGTGTATTTAGGGTCATCAACTGAAGCAAAATACGAGACTTTAGCAAAAGCTACTGCATAAATTATTTGACTCCGGAGATTGCTTTAGAAGCTCACCAACATTTCTCAGTTATATACCAATCTCTACAATGACAACACATCTGCAATAACCCTGACTAACAACTCTGCCGGTAAAAAAGTACAAAGAGGTGGACTATCTCTTCATTCACGATCATCTCAAGCTCAAACAAATCGATCTACGACACATTACCACAAAAGACTAACCAACATATCTTCTCACTAAATCCCTCAACCACATGACATAAACTCCTCACTGACAAGATCACTATCTGGACCGATGATCTATCGCTTGAGAGGGGTTAAAGAGACCCCCTTGAGAACCTCTCCTACGCCTTACGTTCGCCTTCCATGAGCTCTAAGCACTTATGAGGATTTACTTTTATATATATATATAGTATACGTATCGCT